TTTTTTTTTTTTTGTTTTTTTTTTAAATTTTGTAAACTTTTGATTTTTTTTTTTTTTTTTTTTTTTACTTTGTACCGCGCTTCGAGCCTTTGGGGATGAAGCGTGTTTTTGAAATGAACTTTATTATTATTATTATTATTATTAAGACATGAAATAATCTAGCCCTTCAAGCCAACAATGAAGGTCTAACAATACACCTCGTGATTTTATAATATATGTATTTTTTAAAAAGACATTACATTACTATACATAAGAACTATTAAGGCATCAGTTATTTTATTATTATTTTTTTTTTATTTTTGCTCAAGTGAAAACACAATTTCCCCCGCCTGTGACAACAAGGGCGCTCGCAGAATTTGTTTATCGTAAATTACAGTGAAAGATAAGGGGGTGGGGGCAGCCTTTAACGCGTAACTCAAAGCATTCATGTTACAAGAAATTAAAAAAATTGATTTTTTTTTTTAATTACCCAAAAATTAACTGACTTATTAATTAATGAGATACTTCTGGCTTTGGGATTTAGCTGAATTTTTTTAATTTTTTAATTTTTTTTTGGCTCTATCCTATTTTATAGTTGAGTCATTTCAGGAAGCTCGCCTGACGCCCCTTCTCCTGACCTAGGCTGCTGGCATCCATGGTTATAAGCATGTTGCCCCTTGATATGGGAAGAGAACTGAGCTCCCATGACATGTTTGCATCCTTTATCCTCTTGACTATGTTCGACATATTTTTTTTCTATATATATTATTGAGATGGACTCAAAAAGTCCCATTCGCTGGCGGATTGCTTCCATGCCAGGGATTTTAAAATAAATGAGAGAAAGTTATGCAGAATAGAACAAATCAAATAGATCATTTTTAATATATTTTTTTTTTAAATTTGTGTGTGCGTGCGTGGCGTTCTTCCATCTTCACGAGACGATGGTTTAATCTCGCTGGTTATTAGTCAAACTACGAATTATGGGAAAAGTATTTCATGGAGTGCCAACCGTTTCTCATGCAACAGCTCCACCCTCTTCATGCAGCTGGTGGCACTGCTGACTGTGTCTTAAGTAGTTTCTGGGGTTTCTTGAGAGTCCGTCCGATTTGGGGACTCAATCCCCCGAAATATCCCGAAGGGCCTTCTTCCCGTAGCCTAACCGATGCAGGCTTGTAGTCAAAGTTTTACTTCACTCTGTTGAGCCACCGTCCAAGGCTGACGAGTCCCATCTATACGATGGTGCTTGGATATGTGGTGATTTTTTTTCTTTGACAGTGCTGTGCTCGCAAACAACGAGCCATGCTAAGTTACGCAATCATTTCTTTGTAACGGTCAGATGCCAAAACTACCAGGTACAAATGATGTAATGTAGCTGCGTAACCTTTTATGAAGACTAACAAACTTTTCCCCAATTATCATTATCCTAACTGTATGATAACAATCCCCCCCCCCCCAAACCACACTCACATTTTTTAATCATACTGTTAGGATACTGTTGTAGGTGGAATCATTGAATTTCCGTATTTTCATTTGAACGAAAAAAAAATACCAGGTACAAATGATGTAATGTAGCTGCGTAACCTTTTATGAAGACTAACAAACTTTTCCCCAATTATCATTATCCTAACTGTATGATAACAATCCCCCCCCCCCAAACCACACTCACATTTTTTAATCATACTGTTAGGATACTGTTGTAGGTGGAATCATTGAATTTCCGTATTTTCATTTGAACGAAAAAAAAATGTAAAGTGAAATAATGGAAAAGAAACTTAACAAAGAACTTTTTCATTTTTTTCTAAAACATTGTAAATGATTTTTCTTTTTGAAATGTGCATTACATTTGTTAAATGACTGATTTGAAATGAATGTCTTTATAAACCAGTTGGGATCCTCCTTTCAAATCTCCTCTATATTGTGTGAAGTCGGCATATTGAATTAGTCTAATGCCGCCCCACAGATGATCAGATGGAAGCTGACTTTCTCATATCAGTTATCATTGGTAAAGCCGTCGGTGGATGTCTGTAGGAGCCGACGTAACCGCCGACGTCACCACGGCGGCCATATTGACAGCGGCCGCCTTCAAGTCCAAAGGTAGCGGGGTGACATCCGGTTTGATGACGTGACGTGTTGTCGCCCGCATGTGGACCGATGTTATTCGAGCTCACGTTAATGGCTTTGCCGTGCGTGCTGCTGTCCACACTTTGGCTTGTTTGCAGGTGTCGGGATGTCACGTTCGGAAGACGGACCTTCTCATGGGGACGAATCTTGCACGTGTTCTTGACGGCGCCCTCTGGCGTCCACATGCACCTCTGATAGTCATCAAACAGGTTCATCTTCGTCCAGGAGGCACGGCCCCGGTCCATGAACGAGTCCAACTTCCAGTAGAGAGACTGGCGGTAGAGGGCGCTCTCCGTAGGGCGGGAGATCCGGTCCACCATATCGTCCTGTTCTCCTTTGGAGATGGACGGCGGGTCGCGCTGCCACGCGATGGGCTGGGCAGAGTCAGACCTGCTCTGATGGAGCCAAGGTGAGTTTCTCATCGTGACCTTTGGCTGGAAGATGGGGAACTTGTTTGTTTGTAAAATAGTTATGTGCGTTTAAAACGAAGTTCGTGACTGCATCGAATGAAGGCGATGGTGAGAATTTGTGAGTTTTTACTAAATTTGACAGAAAGGTCGATATGTCAGACGCGCGATGCTGGCATGTGAAGTTGAAAGTTATACAGTTGCTGACTGATGCGGTGGCTGTATTGCACGGGAATCAGCAATAGATACTATCCTTTGAACGTAATCTGGAAGATAAAAAAGACTAATTATCATTCATTATCTTTATAAAAATTTTCAGTGTCAATTGAAAACATTCGATATCTGTATTTACGTTACCAAAAAAATAATTTAAAAATAAATAAAATATCGTTTCTACCCCTTTTTTAAATTTAACTTGAAGTGTTTTTTGTTTGTCATAGACTACACGGGTTACGTTTGCGGTATTATTCGATGAATTGAGCTGATTACCTGACAAAGTTTCCTTCCCTGAATTTCTTGGTAATTCATTTTTAAAAGGCCATTTGAAGATATGACACATTGTATTAGAGATTTATTGCTTAAATTTCCCCTAATCTCTTTCAATCTTTATTTGATGTAAACAATTTTGTTTTCTTAAAGAAGAATTCTTTTTTGTTAAAAGTTCAATCGATATGTCTTTCTGTTATCTTAGCTAAAGTTAATCTGTTTTATAAACGATCTACACATTTAAAAAGAAAAATAATCCTATTTATATTCCAATATATTAATGAATTTTTTAAAAACATAGTTTATCAGACTCACCTTTTCTTGTATAGAGCATTTGATCACAGAAAATGTCCCTTCCATCTGTTCCAAACTCACATTCACCTTTATCGTCTCCAAAATCTCCCTTGAACTCTGGTTACCTCAACATTTTTTTAAAAATCTGTCAAGTGACACGTCTCTTATTCTACAGACCGACATTTCCAATAACACGTCCGACAAAACCCGGGCATTTTTAATCAAGCTTTGAAACAAGACCACCCGACGCCCGGGGGTGGGGTAGGTATTGATTTATCAACCTCGAATTCATACACAAACTTTAATTGCGCGGGCGGGGAAACAAAAGGTCCCTTTACTAGACCCCCGGGTCGTTGTTGTAGCCTTTTGGAAGGCTTTTGTTGGACACATGCAAGCCGTTTGACGTTCAAGACAGCACGCGACGCTCTGCAGACACCGGAGTTCGAACGCTTGGCTTCATGCCAATGACGTTATTTGGCAACCGCTCAATACGTCCAGACAGGGGTGGGGTGGGGTGAGGGTGGGGGTGGGGGTGGATGTAATTTGTCGCATGCAGTAGATCTCATAAGTTATGTTCGATGTCAAACAAAACATTATTGTTATATAGGTACTGTTTACAAAAACATCCCTGTTATATAGGTACTGTCAATAAAACATTGTAATATTGGTACTGTCAATAAAACATCATTGTAATATAGGTACTGTCAATAAAACATCATTGTAATATAGGTACTGTCAACAAAACATCATTGTAATATAGGTACTGTCAATAAAGCATCATTGTAATATAGGTACTGTCAATAAAGCATCATTGTAATATAGGTACTGTCAATAAAGCATCATTGTAATATAGGTACTGTCAATAAAGCATCATTGTAATTTAGGTACTGTCAATAAAGCATCATTGTAATATAGGTACTGTCAACAAAACATCATTGTAATATAGGTACTGTCAATAAAGCATCATTGTAATATAGGTACTGTCAACAAAACATCATTGTAATATAGGTACTGTCAACAAAACATCATTGTAATATAGGTACTGTCAACAAAACATCATTGTAATATAGGTACTGTCAACAAAACATCATTGTAATATAGGTACTGTCAACAAAGCATCATTGTAATATAGGTACTGTCAACAAAGCATCATTGTAATATAGGTACTGTCAACAAAGCATCATTGTAATATAGGTACTGTCAACAAAGCATCATTGTAATATATTTACTGTCAACAAAGCATCATTGTAATATAGGTACTGTCAACAAAACATCATTGTAATATAGGTACTGTCAATAAAGCATCATTGTAATATAGGTACTGTCAATAAAACATCATTGTAATATAGGTACTGTCAACAAAACATCATTGTAATATAGGTACTGTCAACAAAACATCATTGTAATATAGGTACTGTCAACAAAACATCATTGTTTATATCCATGACAGTTGTTTACATCATTGTAATATAGGTACTGTCAACAAAACATCATTGTAATATAGGTACTGTCAACAAAACATCATTGTAATATAGGTACTGTCAACAAAACATCATTGTAATTTAGGTACCGGTATATCACGGTTTTATTTTAAAATGAAAATAAATGTTTGAAATAAAGTTGTCCACACACAGACATCTGCATTCACGCACAGACACAGGCACAGTCACACAGACAGGCACGCACAGACACAGTCACACAGACAAACATACACACGCACACATACAGATCCACACAGACAGGCACGCACAGACACAGTCACACAGACAAACATAACCATGCACAATGCACACATACAGATGCACACAGACAGGCACGCACAGACACACAAACACAGATACAAGAACATACACACAGATTAAATTTAGAAATAAAATATATGATTGCATAGGTTTTTAATTTACATGATTTAGTGATGTAAGGTTTGGGTGATTTAGTGATGTAAGGTTTGGGTGATTTAGTGATGTAAGGTTTGGGTGATTTAGTGATGTAAGGTTTGGGTGATTTATTAATGTAAGGTTTGAGTGATTTAGTGATGTAAGGTTTGGGTGATTTAGTGATGTAAGGTTTGGGTGATTAAGTGATGTAAGGTTTGGGTGATTTAGTGATGTAAGGTTTGGGTGATTTATTAATGTAAGGTTTGAGTGATTTAGTGATGTAAGGTTTGGGTGATTTAGTGATGTAAGGTTTGGGTGATTAAGTGATGTAAGGTTTGGGTGATTTAGTGATGTAATGTTTTGGTGATTTAATGATGTAAGGTTTGGATGATTTAGTGAATTTAGGGTTTGGGTGATTTAGTGATGTAAGGTTAGGGTGATTTAGTGATGTAAGGTTTGGGTGATTTAGTGATGTAAGGTTTGGATGATTTAGTGATGTAAGGTTTGGGTGATTTAGTGATGTAAGGTTTGGGTGATTTAGTGATGTAAGGTTTGGGTGATTTAGTGATGTAAGGTTTTGGACTAAATCACTACATTCCAAACCCACTAAATGTGATGTAAGGTTTGGGTGATTTAGTGATGTAAGGTTTGGGTGATTTAGTGATGTAAGGTTTTGGTGATTTAGTGATGTAAGGTTTGGGTGATTTAGTGATGTAAGGTTAGGGTGATTTATTAATGTAAGGTTTGAGTGATTTAGTGATGTAAGGATTGGGTGATTTATTGATGTAAGGTTTTGGTGATTTATTGATGTAAGGTTTGGGTGATTAAGTGATGTAAGGTTTGGGTGATTAAGTGATGTAAAGTTTTGGGTGATTTAGTGATGTAAGGTTTTGGTGATTTATTGATGTAAGGTTTGAGTGATTTAGTGATGTAAGGTTTGAGTGATTTATTGATGTAAGGTTTGAGTGATTAAGTGATGTAAGGTTTGAGTGATTTAGTGATGTAAGGTTTGGGTGATTTAGTGATGTAAGGTTTTGGTGATTTATTGATGTAAGGTTTGAGTGATTTAGTGATGTAAGGTTTGGGTGATTTAGTGATGTAAGGTTTGGGTGATTTAGTGATGTAAGGTTTTGGTGATTTATTGATGTAAGGTTTGAGTGATTTATTGATGTAAGGTTTGAGTGATTTATTGATGTAAGGTTTGGGTGATTAAGTGATGTAAGGTTTGGGTGATTTAGTGATGTAAGGTTTGGGTGATTTAGTGATGTAAGGTTTGAGTGATTTAGTGATGTAAGGTTTGGGTGATTTAGTGATGTAAGGTTTGGGTGATTTAGTGATGTAAGGTTTTGGTGATTTAGTGATGTAAGGTTTTGGTGATTTATTGATGTAAGGTTTGAGTGATTTATTGATGTAAGGTTTGGGTGATTAAGTGATGTAAGGTTTGGGTGATTTAGTGATGTAAGGTTTGGGTGATTAAGTGATGTAAGGTTTGGGTGATTTGTGATGTAAGGTTTTGGTGATTTATTGATGTAAGGTTTGAGTGATTTAGTGATGTAAGGTTTGAGTGATTTATTGATGTAAGGTTTTGATGATTTAGTGATGTAAGGTTTGGGTGATTCAGTGATGTAAGGTTTTGGTGATTTAGTGATGTAAGGTTTTGGTGATTTAGTGATGTAAGGTTTGGGTGATTTAGTGATGTAAGGTTTTGGTGATTTAATGATGTAAGGTTTGGGTGATTTAGTGATGTAAGGTTTGGGTGATTCAGTGATGTAAGGTTTTGGTGATTTAGTGATGTAAGGTTTTGGTGATTTAGTGATGTAAGGTTTGGGTGATTTAGTGATGTAAGGTTTGGGTGATTTAGTGATGTAAGGTTTGGGTGATTTAGTGATGTAAGGTTTGGGTGATTTAGTGATGTAAGGTTTTGGTGATTTAGTGATGTAAGGTTTGGGTGATTTAGTGATGTAAGGTTTGGGTGATTCAGTGATGTAAGGTTTTGGTGATTTAGTGATGTAAGGTTTTGGTGATTTAGTGATGTAAGGTTTGGGTGATTTAGTGATGTAAGGTTTTGGTGATTTAGTGATGTAAGGTTTGGGTGATTAAGTGATGTAAGGTTTGTGTGATATAATGATATATGGTTTGGGTGATTTAGTTAAGAGTGTGAGGTGCTCCACCTTGGTGGCACTTGTTTTTATATATTGGAGGGGGAGATTTCTATAAATTCAGAATATTTTTTTTAATGCGGGGGGTGAAAGAAAAAAAAAAAAAAAAAAAACTGCTTTAAAATCCTTTGTGAAAAGACAGCTGCGATGTGCTGGTAGTACACAACAACGGCTCAGAGTGGTAAACTACTTTCCAACTCTTCAACTCAAATCAAAATTTGAAGGTAAATTGAAAAGACAGACATGGAATATGGGTTTTTTTGTTGTTGTTTTTTTTGGGGGGAGGGGGTGGAGTTTGATAAAGATAATTAAAGTAAGGAACCGCACAGGTAAGGAGACAAAAATAATTAAGCAGACAAAAAGAGATACAAGACGAATGATATTGGGGGGATGAAAGTTATCAGGTTGAGAAACGATGAGGGTGGTGGGGGCGGAAGGTGGCCATGAGAAGCGGGTGGGGGGGGGTAGCGAATTTAAAAAAAAGGATAAAGAAAGTGAGAGGGGGGGAAATGGAGGCAAATCAATCACCAGTATCAACCGATCGATACAGCGATCGTTGGCGCTGACCGGTAACAATTTTTTGATGAGGTCACCCTGACACGCGTACTGACTAAAGCGATCTGGCATTTTATTGAAAGCGAGACCGTCATGGAATGTTCACAGCGCATTGGGTTCAGTGCACAGCTCAATAAAAATTTTATACGCAAGACATGCGTTGAAAGCATGTGTCTTACCTAATGGTGACACTCTGGGACGTAAAGATTTCCTTAGGGCATTCGTAACAACAAAAATAAGTTTAATTCCCTCCTAGTCAGCTTATATTGTATCTTGTTTAGAAAAAAAAACACACACACACACATCTGGTGGTTTTTATTTAACGGAGTTAAATTAAACCGGATTAGTAACACCCTCCTCCCCCTTCCACAGCCGTTAAGCCTCTCCTATTTACACGGTGTGCTTAGACTTCATGGTTTGGCGAAAAACTTAGAACAAAAACGGTTTAACATTATTAGTCTTATGTGGTTTTTGTCTTCTTAAAGAGGACCATGCAAACCTTTTCTTTTTTTTTTGTTTGCCAATAAAGCTTGTGGTAAGGCAACGGACGTTAACGGTTACTTAACATGTATTACTTATAAACAGCGCTGTCCAATGCGCAGTCCGCTAGCTGATTTTAAGCAGACCCCCAAAGCCCGAGACATGTCTATGATGATGCGTGTAAAGATACGGCATTTTAGGGTAAACATATCTTCAATCATATAGGAGCCAGAATGATCAATTCATTGATCGTGGGCCCTCAAAATAAAGAAGAAGAAGAATCCACAATGAATGATTTAATATTGCTGGGAAATCACGGGAGAACACGGG